CATTAACATCAAAGTTCATTCTTTCTTTTTGTTGTAGCGGTAATGATGATGACAACAAAAAATGATGATCCTCTTCACTCCCATATCATATTCGGAATTTCATTATAATTTTAATAAAGTTTAGAATATGTATTTTAATAACTACATGATATATTTTTATATACCCTTAGTATATCAGCTAAGTTACTTGGATTTTAACACATTCATTGTTCGTATATCTTATATGCCTATGTTTATGTGAATGTAGAAATATAGTACAAGCATTCAGAAAAAACCGATATGTATGTTCAAAACAACCAAACTTTTTGAATTTTTTTTTTCTTTGTTCTTTTTGTCATTCCTAAAATTGAATAAAATTAGCGGACCGTGATACCTTCATTATAATGCCATAACATGTTGTGAATTGAATTGATATAGGATTAGGTTGCTCAAAAATATTTTGTACCATAATATTTAAATATATATGTATGGTGTTATATAACATAAGTTTCTGTATTGTATGTATATTGTAAATATGGGATATAGATGTGAAAAAGTAGACATTTCATTCAAGTTTTTTTATTTTACTCCTTTTAGTTTATGACTTTTATACAAAGACTTCAATTTCGTTTCAATTATAGTGAGTCCCAAGCTATTATAAAATATTGTTAAACAATATTCTTCTCTATATCAACGCGGAAATTTGACTATGCTCTTTAATTATAGTTTTTAAAGTTTATAATGTTGAACTGTTCAATGCTGTTTATTATGAAAAACTTCGAATATTAAGTGATGTTTGGTCGATTGATATTAAGCCTATTTTAGGTTACTTTTAATAATATGTCCGCTAAATCTTTGAAATCAAACCTAAAACGATAATAAGCATTTTACAATTGCAAAACATATCAAAATATCAATTTAAACAGCTAGGTTACCACATTTGATTTTTATATTTGTATGATATTGTAAATTTCTCTACCATACCTTCCTTTTACATCTTTTATTAAATCCAATCCTATCTAATGTTGTTGTAAGATCCGCTTAATATAAATTGTTCGCAGTCATGTACTCAAAACTTTTAATTTTTCTTCGTTCTTTTCACCCATTTTACTTCTTATAATCGCTCCATCAGTTTAGTTTTTGTTGATTTTTTTATTTAGACAAAATTTGTTTCAATCAATGTTTTTAATTTGTATATACATATTTCGGCATCTCTGTTTCAAAAATGCTTTGTATATCAAGCGTGGTGCTGTTTTGACACTGCTACAACTTTTGTTTCGTCTTATTGATGCGATTGATAATACGTTCATTCCATTCTTAATTATGGTGTCCTTTTTTTTCCATCGATGTGTACAGACTTCTGTGAATCACCATTCTGCTTCCCTTTTAATATCAAACCAAATTATCATTATTATACTTACATTAAAAATTTTTATAATATTTATGTATTCTCTTCCGAATTTTTACAAAAAACAAAATAATTTCATTATTTATCTTATGCTTGTTGGGATTAACTATAAACATTTCCTGGTTACTTTATTTTATTCTAAAACATATCATGTGTCATTCTAAATATAACGCGTTATACACTCGAAGTTCTTTATCAAAATGTAGGAGCATATACGGTGTTGACATTCAATTAGTTGAACTAAAAATTGAATTAGTATAGGAAAAAAATGTTGATGCTGTTGTTCTACAACTTGATATAGGTTTTTTTTTTGTTATGTAAAATAGTTTTAAATTCTCCTTTTTCTTCTGATTTTGTTGTTGTTGTTCTTCTACTTGCTTCTATTTAAAAAAGAATGTTGTTAAGAATGTTGTAGGCTGCATAAACTGTTAACAATATCATAAATTTTTTGTTCAACATGTTTTTCATTCTTAACATTTTTAGCAAAGTTCTTGTTACTTCTTTAACTACTTACTTGAATGGAAGTTATTTTTAAAAACATAATGTTTTTCTTTAATGGACTTTTATTTTTTTTTCTGATATGCTGAAAATAAAGTAACAAAATTTAAATATGCTGGTAAAATGATATTTTTAATGTTGTAATTTATAAAAAAAAAATTTTTCTTTCAAAATATTTACAAACAACCGGGATTTTTTTTGTGCTATCTACTGCTCTTAGGTAGGTTTTGCTGAAATTGAAACCTTGTTATATCGTAATTTGTTTTTGTTATCATTAGTTAGGTTATGTATAATGATACGTATTTGAATTTTGAAGGACTTTGAAGAGAATTTTCAGGAAAGTTTCCAGTTTCTTTAATTTTTTTTTGAATGATATAGAAAAATGTTGATAATTCTTTTGTGCTACGTGTTTTTTGTACTTCCTTTTTGAAGATCATGGTTATTTTCATATTCAATTTCAAGGTTATATTGAGTTATTAAATTTTTTTTAATGCTCAATTAAAAATGGAATAGAAAATTTTTAGAGAAGAAATTTGTAATTTAAAATATTTTTGTAAGCATGAAATTTTTTTATAATTTTTTAAAGATATCGAGAAATAAATAAGAGTAGTGAATTAAAATTTTGTTGAGATGGATTAGAGCATTAAATTTGATGTTTATTCCGCATTTTAAATTGTAGATTTATGGTAGTAATTTAAATAAATCGTTAATATTTATTATTGAAAGGTTATAAAGTTTAATGACTTAAGTGCAATGTAAGTAAGCATTTACATATGTAAGAAGGTTAAAGATTTCTGGAAAAATATTGAAGCATTAAATCTAAAGACGCATATAAGAGCATGCTTCATGCCTTAAAATACGCACGAATAAAAAAATATTGTTTTAGTTCGGAAACAAAGTATTGCCAAATACAAAAGTTTTGACAAATTCAATTCAACTCTCTTAAAATTTAAAGTTTTTTTTTTTTGCTAATAAGGAAATTACGGCTCGGAATATCGATATGAACTTAATGAATCGACGTAAGTACATACATTGCTGACTAAGTACAGTTTTGTAAAGTAGCCGTAAATTACGTTTTAAAATATTTTATAAAAATAGCCTAGTTTTTCACTACAACAAAAACATATTCGTAAGTCATAATTATTGCTTATAATTTTTAAATTTTGCTTATGTCTACGACTTATGATTATGATCATGAATCTAAGTATGTCAACATGTTAATCTTTATTTGAATATTTTGAATATTTTATTATTAAACCATTTTACCGCCCAATTAAAACTCATATTGACGTACCATTTTCAATAATTCTAAGAAAAATCAAAAAATATTTGATTTTTGTCTTCCCTTTGTTTTTAATTTTTTCCATAGTTTCTGTTTCTTTTCTTATTTTCCTGCTGAATATTTTATTGAATGATGCTAAAAATTCCCGTTACATAACATTTTTATTATTTTCATGTTTTTCTATTTTAGCTTAATTTTTCTCTTATTTTTTATCATAAATACAAGATCTGAAAAAAAAAAATAATAATAATAATAAAAAGAAAAGAAAATACATGTAGATGAAAAAGTTCTTGTAACGTCAAAATCAAAACAAGCCAAATACAGCATTTATATGTAGTAATTTATGTTGGGTATGTAGGTATGATGTGTTTAAATATGTACCTTCATACTCAACAGAAAATTAGCTGTATGTACATATCATTATCATGTCAGTAAAATTATTAAAAACTTATTTACATATTATGTACTTACATTGTGTAAGTACATTTAAATTTTATTTCAAAAATATCTAGGTATCTAGTTTAATTACTAATTACAAAAGTCTAATTATGCATAAATACTTCTTTACACAAATCGTTAGTTTTATATACATACATATAATTGCATTGTGTAGTTTAAGATCTGTATTATATATACTATAAGTACTATAGAAATTTTCTACATAACATTCACAATTATTGTGATTATTGTGAATATTGTATAATATTAAATATGAATACATGAGTATACATAGTACCTAAACTATAAATGAGCACATTATCAATTTTTCTCTTGTGTTTTATTATTTAAACACATCATTATTTTTGCTTTTCTGAACCCGCCCGATTTAACCTCAATTTCTCACCTATAACAATTGTACTACGCTTTATTTCAATCAATATCAATTCTATTTAGAACATTATTTTTGTCCCTTTACTTATTCTATTTTTTATTCTCATCGTATAATAATTATTATTAGTGTTGATTATTTTTCATTCTTACTCAATATTATAAAAGTACAAAATTTTCTTCTCAGTTATAAAGGGGAAAAAAATAGAATGGATGGAAATCAAGACAATAAAATCAAAGTAAAATTTTTGAAGCAATAAAAAGCGTGTGCCGTTGCCATATTTTGGCGTTTATGTCATTCCTTTGACGTTAATCGTTGAACGTAGAACATTTTTCGTTTCAAAAAAATAATCCACACTTCTAAGACAATTGTTGTATGTACTTTGTAGTATATATGTATACATTAAACGTAACGACACAACAATTAAAATAATGAATACAAATGAGTTAAAAAACAGAAAAATGAAAAAAAAAGAGTGGTAAAACATTTGAATACAAAATGATTGAAGAAACCAAAAAAAACAAAATTTATTACAAAAAAAAATTGTTTGCAAGTAAAGCAAAAAAAAATTTTATAAAAGAACAAAAACTATAAAATGTTGAGTTAAAAATTTGCTTTATTTCCCTTTTCTTTTTTAATTTTCTTGTTTTGTTAAAACAACAACATAATCTTTAAAATAAAGATCTAGATTGTAAGTACTAAATTTATTAAGAAAGAACAGGTTCTTCTGAAAACGCAGTATGCGTACGCATTTCTAACTTAAAACTAAAAAAACTTTTTCGCATTGATTGACAACTGCAAAAAATTGTCATTTGTTTTGTCGTAGTAAAAAAGTTCTTGCAAATCTTTATCTAAGTCATATTTGAAAATGCAGTTCTACCAATAGTACAAAATTGAAGTTGTTATTTTTTAGACATAAAAAATGGATTTAAGGAAAAAATTAATTAAAAATTATAAATTCGAATATCTTACAGAAGCAAATCGAGATAAGAGTTTAAACTTACGCTAATAAATCTTCTATATCATCATCGTCCATCTTGCTTAATATTCAATTTAAGTTAGCGCAGTTAGAAAATTAAAAATGCGATGTTGCGTGAAGTTTCTGAAATATCTTAATTGCAGTTGTAGTTTTCAAAATGGCTGCTACTGCAGTTCTGAATTTTTAAAAACACTGCTTTGTAGTTGAAGCAGTTCTTATTAAACAAATGTGCTGCAATTTAGTACTAAGTTAGAACTGCATTTTCAGAAAGACCTAACATTGCTCTTATTTTTTTTTCTGAATGTGGCCATCCAGTTTTGCTAATGTATTATGTATGTATATACATGTATGAATACATAAGTATCTGCTCGTGTGCATAAACGTTTAAAGATGGCATCTTTTGTCATCAAAAGAATTTTGCGGTTCTTCATTTATGGAAAATGTTTGATTATTTTTCTGTTTTTTCTTAAAGAATATAAAGTTCAAGTTTTGACATATGCATTCTAAACTATTGTTATATGTGTAAATACATATCGTAAAGGGTTAATGCAATTTTGCGGTTTTAAATTCCCGTATTTAATTGAGTATATAGAAATTTCCCTAGAAAATTGAAATTAACCATAGAAATGCTGTTATATTTTCTTTTGCCGTGTGAACTCTTTGTTTCGTATAATTGACATTTTTAAAGAGTTATTACTCTTAATATCTACTTTGGCATGTAAATAAAAAAGTTGTTGAATTGGATGGTGATTACAAACTTAAATAAATAAGAATTAAGAAACAAACCATTAAATATTTTGTGGCTCAAAAAAAGGACACAATTTAATATATGCATATGCATGAACCCAAAAATATCAGAAACTTTATTAAAACTACTTTTTTTTTTGTAAATATTCGAATACGAAAAAATACATATTTTCTGCGAAATATTCGAAATTTAAAATTTGAGTATAAACCACCAAATTTTTATTGTTTTCAATTCGATCGATAATAATGTTGATACTACAAGATTTTCGACTCTCTAAGACTAAAACTTGGGTTTTATATTATTGCATTTAAATGATTAAGTTATTCACTTTCAAAATAGTTGATTCAACTGTCACAAGTTCTAAAATAATAAACTTGCGTACATACATACGTACATATATTAAAAATTTAAATGACAACTTAATGCATTTTTAATTCAAATTAAAGAAAAAATTATTGTTAAATTTTTATTGCAAAATTAAATAGGTATATACCTGTATACAAAATTTTACTGTTATCTCATGGTTAAAAGTGAATGCAGAACTCATTTCTATCTTGAGTACAATAGGAAACAATGATTTGCAGTTTATAGAATTATTTAGTTAAGCATAAAAACAAATGTATATACATATATGTATGTATGAATATAAGTCTTCAGGATTCTTAGTGTACATACATACATTCTTATTATAAAACTTACAAATGTACATATGTAAAGCTAAAATTTACCTTGTTTTATAAAACTAAAGCAGAAGAAAAAATATTAAAACTCTTAAATTTCAAAATGTTAAACAGTATCTTGTACGATATACTACACACTATGTACATAATACATTATGTACATAAGTAGTGTAATAAAATACAATAAAATAAAAAAAATAAAAACAGGCCAAGAGCAAAATAATAACATTTATAATAAGATTTTGTAATATTTTTAGTGTGGACTTATTAATGCGTCTTTTTATTGTTGGTTTACTAAGTATACCATGAAAATGGAAATAATGACTTTGATGAACAAAACGTTTTATGAGGCCAAGTGTAGATATAAGTGTGCACTTAAGAGTTCATTTTTTTTCTTTTTCCATCTGTTTTTAAGTGTTTTACTTTACTTTTGTTTTTGTTTCATTATTTTTTTTATTACAACAATAATTTTATAGATTAATTTTAAATTCGAAAAGACTAAATTTTTTTATTGAAATATGTAAAAAAAAAAAAACAATTATTTTACTACATTTCAATTTGTAATTTTTACCATCATTAAAAATGAAAAAAAAAAAAGAAGTCGCGAATTGGTATTGCTATATTTTTTATGATCTTTCTACTTAAATAATTTTATTTTTCATTTTTTTATGAATACTTAGTGGAAATAATATTATAACGATAAGTGTATTAATGATCATTGAGGCAACTATAAACAGCTTATAGTTGCAAGCTGCGAGAGCAAGTGTAAAATCGCAAAAAAGTTACTTAAAAAAAATTTTATAAACTAGAAGTACCTACTTAGAAAATTCAAAGGTGTCAAACAGTCCCGATTTGTGCATATGATAGACTACCTATATTGTTCCGAAACCAATTATCATCGTTAAACCTCTTCCATTTTACTGCAACGTCTGATTTCTTCAAAAGCGAAGTAAGCAAGATGAAAAAGTTTTCCATGAGTATGGTGTGGCGAATCATAAATTCTGATCCATCGCGAACTTTTATAAACACAAAATAGCTCGGACTTTCAAACGTTTCATTCTGACACCCTTATATTCAAATATTCTTAAAACGCATAACCAAAGTTATTATTTTGAGACAAACGTTAATGATAATTATTGTCGAATGTCGATGATAAGTTCTATCAACTTGAAATTTAATTTCGTTGTTTTTCTTTTTAATCTTTTACTTATACTTTTGATTTGTTAAGTAATTCGAAGTGGCATCAAGTAAAAATAATAATATGTGATGCATGTAAATATGTTATGAAAATAGAAAACATGTTTATTAAAAGTCGATACTTCGAGCATATACTAATTAAAATCATAAAAAATTGAAATTGCGCTGTGCACTGTGCCTATTAAATGCATTTTACATAAACTCGGATGATATTACTTTATTAAAAATATGTGTTGGTCTTCTATAAAGACATAATTACATTTATGGAATCTTCGATTTTACTTTATCATACAAAAAGTTCATTCAATATTTAAAATATATAAGAATTTAAATGATAAAATTGTAACTTTTGCACATTATATGAGTGCTACTTAATGTTAAAAAAGTATTTACGAATAAATTTAAATTTTTAATACATTATTGAAAGAGAAAGAACGAAAATTATTTTAGGAATATTGCGAGAAAAGAAAAATTGTGAAAAGTCAATAAATTTTTTGTTTTTTATATTTTTGATTCTTAGTTTTTGCATAAACGCTAAGTGCCTATAGATTTAAAATGTAATTAAAAAAAGGATTTATAGTGCAGTTAAAATTATGTACAGATTATAAATTAATTTGCAATTTTGTAATAATAAATAGATAAAGAAGAGTGTTAATGAGTGTTAATGTTTTTTTACTGAAGCAATGGCTGACTAGATTATGTAGATGCGGCTACTAAAGTATATCTTTAGGGTAGGTAGGATCGTTATGATATCGCTGGATCTTCATATCTCTGCCCTCACCTGTACAAGCCCGGTTCCATCATAAGCCTATCTTTTAAATACTTAGGTCCCTGAAATTTACATTCGCCAAGTCCGTAGCTCGCAGAAAGAAATACAGCTCTTGCAGAGATCGTTAGCGGGGTGTTCTATTCTTCTGATGTGTCTACCAATCAGGTAGTGCCCAGTTATATCACAGGTGTGGTGTCACACCAGAGGAGAGACATCAGATCGATCATGCGACGAAATTTTCTGGTATTTCTGGTACGGCCGCATATTGTTTCATTTTCCCATAGTAAAACTCATTTTAGTAAGGCTCATTAAAGTTGTTGTACCGTAATGCACAGTGGTTTTTCGACTCACCTGTGTTAAATTTTTTCTCGTATCTACTGGATCAATTTCATATTTTTTAGGTAATTCAGTTATCAAATGAATACTTGATTTTTTCTGCTTCATTGGGAATTAATGGTGAGACATTTTTAAATACTCCAACAACTGCATATAATTTTTTTTTAGTTCTCACGTGTGAATATTCCATTTTAGCTGAAAATCAATCCATAAAACAAGATATTCATATTTTGTTACCTGATGAAGAACTTGATAGACTCAGGATTTGTGCTTAAAATAATATATCTATCTGCAAATAGAAAAATATAAATCGCAGTTTTTGTACTCAATTTCCTTATTTATAAATTCTTAATTTAGAAATTTGTAATTACAAGTGCAACCGCGAAATCATTTGTACAATTAGTTCTTAAAAGCTTAATCTTATTCAAAATTACTCTGAATAGAAAGAAACCAGATTTTACTTCTCTTCCAGTTCCTTCTCATTTAGTTTTTGCAGTTGTACGGAAAACTGGTGTGGGTAGCATTTTCCGAAAATCTTCAACATGTAAGTTTTGCTTGATGTTTCTCGTAAACAATAAAATTAAAATTACTATAACCATTAAATATCTGGAAAACATGCATATTACTCCTTCAGAGGTACCCTGCAATTCTGCAAAAAAAATATATATATGTTATTTACTTTAAAAATATTTAATTATCGTAATTTGCACACTTTTTTGAACTCAAACTTTAATATGTAGAGGAAAAATGCAACGGAGTTGTTTTAATTAAATATTTGTGCGTCTTCCCACATTAAAATTACAACATTTGTGGATTCTACATAATATCATTAAAATGCACTATCAAAAAAAAAGTAAGGAAGACCAGTATTGGGAATATTTTAAATTACCATTAAAATTTATTTACCAAACATCATTATACCTAAAAACATGCCTATAACTTTAATTAAGCTAATATTGAAATCTTTATTACAATATTTATGTAAATAGTTACCCACGCACAAAGGAATACAAAACATAATATCAATGTCCGGGAGATTCTTCTCTTTTTTTTTTTTTTGCAATAATTTCATATTTAAATATATTTATTTATAAAATTGTATGTTAGTTGTTTTAACAATATTTTTAATATTTAAAAGCAAATTGGAATGTATGTATGTATAGAATTTGTTATATATTTACAGTTCACATTCATGTTATTCATAAAATATTAACCACGTGCCTTTGATAGTAATTTCATCATTGTTAAAATTTTAACTGTATAAAAAAATTCTTTTATATTTTTTTGGATATTTTGTTTTAAATACCCAAAGGCATTAGAAGAAAAA